CTCGGCGGCGGCTGGGGGCGGCTCGCCCGCGGTCCCCGCACCGAGCCCCTGCGAATGGCATGACTCGCCCTCGCCGCCCGCCCGCCCCCCGCGGCTGCGGTGTGCCGTAGTGAGGCGAGGAATGGTTAAACCCTGGCCTTTTTATACGTACGTTTTTTTCTTTTTTGTTCCTTTTCGTCTCGGGGCTTTCAGCTTACGGAAAAGGAAAGCATCTGATGCGTCTGCTCACATGCCACTTTCGATCATACGTTGCCTCTTTGCACAGAGCAGGATCGTTGGGAAAGATGGAGATACAATAAGTTGCTAGTAGTGAAAAGTGCTGCAGGAATCCAGTGGTTTCCTTTCTCCACTGAAGTGACATATTTTTCCTCGGGTTAAGTTGAAAGCACTGCTTGGCGGAAACTGTAGCTGAGAGTGGGTTTGTGTTTTTCTTGCACGGTTAGGTTTTGCAAAGAGCGGCGATGAAGAGGAAGCTGGCACTCTCCGAGATGCAGTTGGTTCTTCTCGTTTTATTGGTGTGGCTACCAACAAGGTGAGCGGATGTTTCTGTTGTTCAGTACAAACATGTATGTTACGATCTGCTAAGGGTAAGCTTGTGCGAGAGGTTATAAAAGTATAGTATGTAGCAATGTAATAATAATTTAAAAAATCTTCCTTAGTTGTTTGAATGCAGTGTTACACAGTTTCCAGAGCAAATGCAGTAGAAGGTAGTCTAGGGACCATGCAAGACGAATCTCTTGTCTTTAAACATTTTTTTAATTGATGCTTTATTTCACCATTAAAAAAAATAATTCCTTTCAATGCCTTATTGATTTTTAAAGATTTATTGGAGTTACTGTATCACTGTGATTCTATACCATACAGAACCGTTAAGATGGAGAATTAGATTATTGTGAAGTCTAATAGCAAATCACAGTTCTAAAATAATGCTCGCATATTTTTTAATATGGGCATGTCTCATGTCTTTTTTTTTTTTTTTTTTTTTTTTTTTTTTTTTTTTGGTCAAAATAACAGAATCCAAAATGATACTTAAGCTTTAAACCTCTAGGTGGAGATAGCATACAACTTCATGATCATATATAATAAAACAATACCCTCATTTATTAGTCAACTTTTCTTATGTTTTTTAAAGTTCTCTATTTCTAAAGTGACAACATAAAAGAAAGTAATTTTAATCACATAATAGTTTTGTGTTGCTCACAGTCCCTAAACATGCAACTAACTGTAGTTAGTAACTTCAGTTTACTTGCTTTGGTTCTGACTGCAGTAGGTCTTGTCCTAATATGGCAAGGGTCTCAAGCTAAATAATGCAAGTTTCCTGTGATTTAAAAAGTCTGCATTTATTTTAGTCTATTTCCTAGTGAACAAAATATTTTCTGAAACTGTTTCCTATTTCACTTTATGCCTAACTATGATGCAGTATTAGTTGAGTCACAGTGGGCCAGATCCTGCAAACCCTACTCAAGTGAGTAATCTCACTGACGTCAAAGAGACTACATGCGTAATTAAGGAGTTTATGCCTGAGTAAAGTTTTCAGGATTCGACCTTAATTTGATATAATGGTATGATCTAATTTTTTAGTAGTATCTTGAGTTCAAAAAACTATTGTATCTCAAAAGGAGCTTAAAAAATGGTAGACTTACAGTACAGAAATATGTTGTCAAAATAAAAAACGAGCCACCCAGTAATTAAAACTAAGAAAAAACTCACACTTCAGTAAAATTACACAGGACATTTTGGTATGTTCTTTATAACTTACCTGATTTTGGTCTGTTCTATGGTTTATGTGATGGAAAGCACAGACTGCAATGATTTACATTTAAATACATCCTCCATGCTGTTGAATTGGGGACCAACATAAAACCCTGTCTTTAATCATTTTATAGCTTGCTTTAGAGAAAATGTCACCCAAACCCACTTTTGGTTTGGAGGAGGAAGAAAACATACTTGTTTTTATGGCATTCAGAATGCTTTGATCAGTAGTTCATTTAGAGATGATAAGTACTCAGACATTTCAGGTTAAGAATTTAGAGGACTGAAAATGATTGTGAATGATAATGCATGTAGCATATGACACTTTCCTTCCTTGATTCTAATATTCCTGTGTTAAGTAGGTAAGACTGATGAGCTCATGCATTTCACATGCATGGTGCTTAAGACTGTTGGCACAGTAACATTTGTATGTGTAAGGCTCTCTGCATGGGAGTATTTCCCTAGTACACAAGACCTTTGGTCTGGGTGTCCAGGTCTGAGAGGACTGTTTGTCACCACAGCTGACTGGGCAGCAGATTCATGTTCCAGCCCCTAGTGTTTTCCACAGAGATATGACCCATAAAGGCTGTAACATCTCCTTTATCAGGGAAGTCTGAAATAATCAACGACCTAGAGATTCTTCTTGACACTTCATTTATTATTTTTTCTATACAACTTTTATAAGGTTTGTCTGCATCTAGTGGAACATCAGATAGTGCTCTTTGTAACAAAACAGCATTTTAGAAACATGAAAGCTATCCACAGCTATTCTGCAGCTTGCTAGTCAGTAATCGACGTTCCCACCCACCAAATACTGACATCAGAGGACTCCCTGAGCATGATTGCTGGAGTTTTCCCCTCATGTTAGTTCTTCTGGTCATGTACATTACATGACCATTGGGTGGAAGTATATCCACAGGATTTACCCAGAGACATAGTTAGGTGAGAACAAATAGGATAGAGCTGGAAGGAGACAGTTTTGTGTGTGGGAACCCGGGTTGTCAGTCTGGGAGTGACATGCCACCGAGGCCTGGGGAGCTCTTTTAAGCTTTTGCACCTGCACAGGCAAATGCGTTAGTGGAGCCTGAAGTGGCACTCACGGTGATGCTGTGCTGGCTAGAAGCAGAGGCTACTGGAAAGTGACTTCCTGGAAATTTTAAATAGTATATCATTGACTCTTATGTTTCTGAACATGTTATATATAAATTGTGTATTCATATACCCTTAACTGCACCCTTCCTGTTAGAGGGCAGCAAGTTAAATATTCAAGGCCAGTCTGCAAAAAACTGCATGTTGAGTGTACATTAAAACACATCTAGCACTTTCTAAAATGTAAAATGTCCATTTAGATCAGTGCTGGCTGACTCCCTGGAAGACGAAGCTAAGAATAACATCACCATCTTTACAAGAATTCTAGACAGACTTCTGGATGGTTATGATAATCGTCTCAGACCTGGATTAGGAGGTAATAAGAACAATTAGAGATTGATTTTAAAAGATCAGTTTTTAATGTTCAGATTTTATGCAGTTTTTTTTTTTTTTTTTTTTTTTTTTCCCTAACAACTGGTATGTATCTTGATAAATTATTTATAACTCTATATTCACCCAGCTGAATCATTTGAAGTTTGTGGAAGATAACATCTATGAATGGAAAGGAGGCACTTTCACACATTTATCTTAAGTAAAAAGGAAAAAAAACCCCTTGGTTATTTAACATAGTAAAACAGAATGAGAACGAAAATAACATCTAAAGCTGTTATTCCAGTCAGGGAATTTTGGTTGAACAAGGAATGCAGGCTTGATTCCCTGCAATGCGATGAGTATATGTTTTCAGAAATCTGCACAAGTGTTTTGTGTGGTGTGTGTAAAATCCACATTTAAAATTAATTCCTTGTCCCAGTAAATTCAGTGGGAATGTTGTATTTTTGACTTACTTGGAATTAGGCTTTCATTGGTAATTATCATTTTGTTTCTGGGTACCTTGCATGTATTTGGGCATTTGAAAAAAAAAAAAAAGAAAAAATGGAATATTGGAGGACAGAGGTCACTGCACTCTTCTGCCATGACTGTCAGTTATTTTTCAAAATGTCCGTTCACATTTTCATTTCAAAGCTGTATGCCAACTCATATGTAAGTATGCAAGCAAGAAATTTAAATAATTTATTTTGTGTTGGAGGTATTACTGTTCAAAAAGAACTCTATGGTAGAGGGAGGGGCAGAATATCTTGGTTTTGATAATATTTTATCTTCTATTATTGTTTATATGCCATTTATACTATCTAAAAATAGATATCAAATATAACACTGCTGCTACTGTTATTACTATAATTTGTAACAGGTAATTGTAATTTTCAACCTGGAGACTGTTCCAGCTTGCTAAAACTAATTCTAGTGCAAAATCCCTGGGAGCCATTCCTGTTCCTGTTGATTTCAATAAGATCTGACCCAAAGCTAGAGACCTGCTCTAACTTTCATGGAAATTAACAACTCTGATCAAATTAGGAATTAAAGCTTAGGTTTTAGCCAACGCTCTTCCACCCTGACCTGTGGCTCTGCTGTTCTGGTTCTGAAGAATCTTGGCTTGCATCTGACACAGCATAATGTGGGAGCTGCTTCTAGCTAGAAATAGCTAATGATACATTAATTTTTACCCAGGATATATTTTCATTTCCATTTCTGGCCTCTGTACAGTGGACACTTGTGCAATATTTTATATTTAAGGACTTTTTAATTTAGGTGATCATTAATGAGACATACAGCACTGTTGATGTGAGAATTTATATATTGATGTTTTACATGGACATTCGATTTCCTTGCAAAATACCCAAATTTATGAATTTAGACATAGTATAAGCATACAATGCCTTGCACGCGACTTGCAGAAACATTTCTTATCACAAAGCTCATGTTTAATTGGCAGAGCTTTTAAAATAATGGGTTTTATTAGAAAAATAATGAACAGTTCTTTCCTTGTTTAAAAAAAGGAGTGTGCCATTTAATGGGAACAGTCTGCAGTACCTTTTCATATCATGTATTCTTTTTAATATTAAAATTTATATTGCTGAAAACATAAATGTTAAAAAATATTTTTGTAATGGATGATTATTTTAAACTTTCCTTTAAATCTCCTTCAAAATACCTCCCTCTTTTTCTTTGCCAAGCCTCCTAGATAATTAAAATATACTTTGGGAGCATAAAAATTAAAGAATTAACATCTGTTTGATATTGGCATACATGGTAATCAACCCATGCAGAACATGTGTGAAATGAAACTGTCATGCATATTAAACCGTGATGATTCATGATACATTAATCTTAATCTGCAAGAATACTTCAGTTGTGGATGGATGGATGGATGGATGGATGGATGGATGGATGGATGGATGGATGGATTCTTATAGTTTAAAAGAAATCTTATAAAAGCCAGTTGTGGCAATCCGTGATATGAAATATACCAAACGATGCTTTTGTACATAGTGCTTAATATTTATGGAGTATTGTATTCAGGAATTTTGTAGCACTTTATTTCTTTTTGTCTATTAACATGTACTCTAAAAGAAAAATGGAAATTTTTTTTTTTTTTTTTTTTTTGAGACACTATACGCCTAGTGAATCCTGATCATTTCTAGAAGTGTTTTTGCATAGACTAGTGCATTTTGACCATGCCACATGTCATTCATTTAATATACTTAATCTCAGTTCTCTTCCACTTGCATTTACATATATCATTGCATAGGATTGGTCTACTAATGTAAAGTATCAGTTAAAATTTTTATGATGTGCTCACCAATATGAGCTAATAGGGAATGAATATTTCTTCACAGAAAACTTCCCCCACCACACCCCCTATCAGGAGAGCTATATATCTATGTATGTGTGTATTTATTTATCAAAGCATTTTATGTCTTCAGTTGCCAGAAAACAAGGCCATGATCATATGTTGATAACCTGGAATATGTAAAATTTAAGACAGTGTATTTATTTATCTCTGTGATTCAGTCTTTAATCAGCTTTAGAAGAGTTTGTAGCTGTAGCAGTTCCTAGCTGGGCATTCAAAACTTAGTGGCATTTTTCAGCCTCATCATCCTTAATACGCATTCAGAGTATCCTAAAAGAAAGTCCTTTGACTATTTTTGCTGCAGAATACTAAAGGAAAGTTTTCACTAACTACTGTTTTTAAAGGAAAAAGTGCAGTTCCCCTGCTCAGTTCTTGTTGCTTCCTTAGCCCTTCTTTGTTCCAATTTAATCTTTTGGAAATGGTAATGTGTCTTTGCCAGTGCTAGTGCAGAGAAATTCAGAGCAGCACTTTCATTTTCTGAAAGCCCACTATCTATGTAGTTATGCCAGGATACAGAGGAGTAAACTACTTTATGCTCTTTGTTGGGCATACCTGGAAAGGTCACATGGAATTTAGCTATCACTGAGCTTTCAGAGGAGTCAGTGAGAAACTCATATTAATTCATGTTAGAGTTGTGCATAAGCCAGAAGACGGATACTTGGAGAGGACCCCCCTACAATCCAGGAAGAGCTAGTCAGTGACCTACTGCATCACAATAGACACACACAGGTCTGTGGGACTGGATGGGATACACCTGAGGGTGCTGAAGGAGCTGGCTGGGGTGCTCGCCAAGCCACTTTCCATCATTTACCAGCATTCCTGGCTGACTGGGGAGGTCCTGACAGATTGGAAATTGGCCAATGTGACACCCATCTATAAGAAGGGTCGGAAGGATGATCTGGGAAATTACAGGCCTGTATTACAGGTTGACTTTGGTGCCCAGGAAGCTGATGGAGAAGCTCATCCTGAGTACCATCACACAACACAGGCGGGACAACCAGATGCTCAGGCCCAGTCAGCACAGGTTTATGAAAGGCAGGTCCTGCCTTACAAACCTGATCTCCTTCTACAACAGGGCAACCTGCTTATTGGATGAGGGAAAGGCTGTGGATGTTGTTCACCTTGACTTCAGTAAGGCCTTTGACACCGTTTCCCACAGCATTCTGCTGGAGAAACTGGCTGCTCATGGCTTGGGTGGGCACTCACTTTGCTGGGTAAAAAAGTGGCTGGATGGCTGGGCCCAAAGAGTTGTGGTGAACGGAGTTAAATCCAGTTGGCGGCCGGTCATAAGTGGTGTCCCCCAGGGCTCGGTGTTGGGGCCACTCCTCTTTAACGTCTTTATTGATGATCTAGACAGGGGATTGAGTGCCCCCTCAGTCAGTTTGCAGTTGACACCCAGTTGGGTGGGAGTGTTGATGTGCTCGAGGATAGGGAGGCTCTGCAGAGAGACCTGGACAGGCTGGAGCCATGGGCTGAGCCCAACTGGAGGAGTTTCAATAAGGGCAAATGCCGGGGGCTGCCCTTGGGCCACAACAACCCCCAGCAGTGCTACAGGCTTGGGGAGGAGTGGCTGGAGAGCTGCCAGTCAGAGAGGGACCTGGGGGGGTGACTGACAGCCGGCTGAACAGGAGCCAGCAGTGTGCTCAGGTGGCCAAGAAGGCCAATGGCATCCTGGCTTGCGTCAGCAATAGCGTGGCCAGCAGAGACAGGGAAGGGATCTTACCCCTGTACTCGGCACTGGTGAGGCCACATCTCGATTCCTGGGTTCAGTTTTGGGCCCCTCACTACAAAAAGGACATTGAATGACTCGAGTGTGTCCAAAGAAAGTCAACGGAGCTGGTGCAGTCTGGAGCACAGGTCGTACGAGGATCGGCTGAAGGAATTGGGGGTGTTTAATCTGGAGAAGAGGAGGCTGAAGGGAGACCTCATCGCCCTCTACAGCTGCCTGAAAGGAGGTTGCAGAGAGCTGAGGGTGAGCCTCTTTAAACAAGTAACAAGCAATAGGGCAAAAGGTAATGGCCTCAAATTGTGCCAGGGAAGGTTTAGGCTGGATATTAGGAAGCATTTCTTTACAGAACGGGTTGTTAGGTGTTGGGATGGGCTGCCCAGGGAGGTGGTGGAGTCCCCATCCCTGGAGGTGTTTAAGAGTCGGGTCGACATAGCGCTGAGGGATATGGTATAGTTGGGAACTGTCAGTGTTAGGTTAATGGTTGGACTGGATGATCTTCGAGGTCTTTTCCAACCTAGATGATTCTGTGATTCTGTAATATATATTGGCAAAAAACATTTCTTGTAAAAAATGGAAAGCAATAGAGAGGAGGATATGAAAATCCCATTTCATTAGTTATCTGCATGCAGATGGTGCTAAAATCCAATAACAGAACTAACTCAGTAGCTGTAAGCATTCTAGGAAATGAATCATTAGGAAAGTGGAAGGATAAAAAAACCCATCAGAAACCATTGTGATACTGTAGACAAACCAACAAAATTGATTTAGGATAGACTAATAGCTGAGGAGCTAAAGGAAGCTTATTTATTTATTTATTGAAAGTCTGTGAATAAATCAACAGTGAACATATCAAAACAAAACTAATGTTACAGCTGTGCAGAGTATTGCAATTGGGAAA